GTAATTTCGATAAATGGATTTTCATTTTATAGGATATAAGTTTCCTCTGTCGACTTATCTGTCTGTCTCTCTGTTTGTTCATCACTACATTTATCAATCTACTTATCTACTTGTTTTTACCAGCCTCTGCCTATCTATCACAATCTGTCTCTGTATAACGATTATTTCATCTCTAGGTATCTATGTATTTTTGTATCTTTTTGTCTGTCATATTTATTCATTTATTATTTATATATTCATTTCGCTATTTAATTCATTCTTAGAAAACATTGTTTATATACTCTTTATTTGTTTATTTTTTATTTATTCATTATTATTTTTATTATTTTTTTTTTATTCTTTTTTAGCAGCAAACTTTTGTAGGAAAATATCTTTGAAGTTTCCTGGTGTCGAAGTGGAAAGTTTTTATTTATTTTCCCCTTCAGTAAAATACTTTGTAGATTAGTGAAGAAATATGGGGATATGAAACACAGGAATGCAATATAAAGTCGATGTGACTGTTTGTATTTACAGATGTGATAACGATATTCCTACTAACGATGAAGATGATGATAAAAATGATAGAATTATAATAAAATAATAATAAAAAATAATGATAATATAATAATAATAATAATAATAATAATAATAATAATAATAATAATAATAATAATAATAATAATAATAATAATAATAATAATAATAATAATTAATAATAATAATATAATATAATAATATAATAATAATAACAATAACAATGAGATAATAGATAATGAGTAATAATCATAAAATAATAGTAATAATAATAATATTAGTAATAATGATAATATTAGTAATAATGTAATAATGAAAAAATGGTAATAATAGTAGTATTAATAATAATAACCAATAATGATAATAATCATGATAACAATGATAACAGTAATAATGATAATAATAATCACGATAAAAGATAAGATTCACAATGATAATGAAAGCATTTAAACGCAGATGGACGGATAAGAAATCAATAATATGAGAGCTAAATAGGTTTCTACTTCGTTACATTCATGTATAAAAGCGAATTCGAATTGCTTCAGGCTTTTCCATTTACAGGATTATTATGATTATTCATTTCATAAATCATAATATCAAATTACTAAAAAGATTCTAGAACATTTAGAAAAGGAATAGGGTTGAAAGAAAGAAGAAAAATAGAGATAATTATAATAATTAATTCAATTAATATCATCATGCTTTTAGCAGAAACTCATTAAACTGTGAACGTGG